CTTAATTGCAATAAACAATTCGTTATCACTATCAGCAGTCCATTCTAATGATGAATGAAAGTGCCTCTAAGTGTCAGGGTTCCCAGTCAATCACACTCAACACCAGGTCTTCAGGAGATTCAGTTTATTGAGAGAGAAAGTACTTGAGACACCATGAACTCTTGTGTCAGGAATGGCGGGAGAGGCGTGGGGCTTTTGGGATATACCCCCTTCAAAGGAGACCCCCTGGTACTACAAAGCCCATAAGCAAGCACTATTAAGCGCAGGCTAACACCCAGCCATTAGGTTCCCAGCAGGAAGCTCGGGAAGAAGTGCCTCTAGCCCCAAGGACACCTGCAAGATAAGCGCAAGCAAAGGAGAAGGAGTGGGGGAGGCGAGCGAGCATATCCCTTTGATCGAACATTCCAACACATAGCAGAATTAGTTGACAGTAAGTGTTCTTTCCAAGATTAAAGTGTTTGTGCTGTAGTAAACGGTCCTATGTCCTTTGTTCTTTCAGATCCAGTAATTGTGGGTGATTTATGGATGTTCTAATGGAGCCTCTGACGGACTTGTCAACATTTACATATGAAAAATACAAAAAATCTCCAATTGTCAGTCAGAATCCTTGCTGGGCAAAAGCCCTACCTGGGCCCACCCACTTCCTAAAAACACTCGGCAGGCTCAGTGGTGCCCATGGGCACCGTGTTGGGGACCTGTTGTATCGGTTAGGTTACTTCTGTTGTCTTTAGCTGGCACATTGTCACACCCAAAGTCTTTAGTCACAAAAATTTATGCCTTCTTACATAAGAATGTAAGTAGAGCCCTGCTGGATCAGACCAGCGGTCCATCAGATCTCACACAGTGGCCAGACAGTTACTCTGGAGGGCCAACAGCAGGGAATAGAGGCCAAGGTCTTCCCCTGATGGTGCCTCAGTGGCACTGGTATTGAGAGTTTTACTGCTTCTGAATGTGGGGGTTCCCATTAGGTGCCATAGCTAGTAGCCATTGATATATCTGTCCTCCATAAATCTGTCTTTTAAAGCCATCTGTGCCATCAGTACATCCTCTGGCAGTTAATTCTACATTTTAATAACTTGTTGAGTAAAGAAGTATTTCCTTTTGTCTGTCCTGAATCTACTGCCCTTGAATTTCATTGCATGCTCCTGAGTTCTAATACTTTGGGAGAGAGAGGAAAAGTTCACATTTTATCTACCCTGTGCATAATTTTATAAAGCATTATCATGTCCGTGTTTCATTGTCTCTTTTCTAAACTGAAAAGTCCCAGACTCTTCAGCCTTTCATCATAGTAAAGGTGTTCCAACCCCTTAATCATCTTGTTTGCCCTCTTCCATACATCTTCCAACCATGCAGTATCCTTTTAGAGATATGGTGACCAGAACTGCACACAGTATTCTAAATGAGGCTGCACCATAAATCTGAACAGGGCCATTAGAGTATTGGCTGTTTTATTTTCTGTCCTTTTCCTGATGACCCCAGCATAGAGTTTGCCTTTTTCACTGCTGTGGCACACCGGGTTGACATTTTCATTGAGCTATCTACTACGACCCCAGGGTCTCTTTTCCTCTCAATCTCAAAAAGTTCAGACCACATTAGGTAAAGGTACAGATTCCCTTGCTCGAAACATTAGTGTGTACTTAAAGTTCAGATTTTTTTGTTCCAGTATGCATCACCATATGCTTTACCTACATTGAACTCCATTTGCCACAGTGTTGCCCACTCAGCCAATCTGTGGAGATCTTCCTGGAGCTCTTCACAGGACTGAGATATCATGGAGCTTGTGACTGACCCTGGAGGGCCTTTGGAGTTTTCTGATTAGAGTTTACTAATCCACCTGTGCACACTTTCTGGCCCATGGAAAGTATCTGTGGGAAGTGGGAAGAGTGGTGTCAGTATATCCTGCAAACACTAAAACATAAACTGAGGTTACAGATAACTTAGGGTCTTCTGTCTGCTTTCTAGTAATTGCTCTTCTTTTCTAGGCTCTGAGGTTTGCAAACATAAAAGTAACAAGTAATATTTCACCCAAACCAAAGTTTGCTCTCATGCTTTCAAGAGTCTCCACATGCTGTGCGTCCGTCACTAGGGTCTATCACAGCAGGGCTATTTGGCCTGGGCCTCACATTCACAGAGGGCCTCAGATTTAGACGATGGCATTATCTCCAAATGAGGTTACACATACAGTCAACAGAGATACACTGACAGGATTGAAAGAAGATGTTTATCTTACAGTGTATCCCATTAGTAGGCCACACCATCTGTAATGAACACTAATGAATTAATATCAACCTCTGGTGGCTGTGGGGTAACAAGGCCAGGTGCCCAGCACTGCCAGTACCTCAAAAAATTGAAGTGGCCTGGGCCTCTGTCAGTCTCTGAGAGGCCCTGTCCATCACTGCAGTATGTATCCTGTAGTTGAAATACTCCACATTTCTAGAGCTCCCCCTTTCTCTGTTATTTTTGTTTGCCTCAGCAGATGCCAACATTCGCTGTTGCTTTAATAACTGAGAAACAGAAGTCAGGATGGCCTATCCAGAGAGAAGTAGGCTTGATTCTTAACAGCTGGGCAAGGGAACAAGCTGAGCCAAACCCTAATAATATCCTTGAGAACATTTAATTCCTTCTACATAAATGAATGTCTGCTGCTTGTTCCTATGGGGAGAAGCAAGCACTGGGAGGAGAGATTCAGAAATGTGTGAGACAAAAGAATATTGGGGGGGAGGCTGTTGCGTGGGAGAATTAGTATTGCAACAGAGGGACTTTGTGTGAGAAACAGGAGGTTATTGGAGGAGGGACAGGAAATGTTTCATGAAAGGAGAAGACAGGATGGCTGTAATGAATGCTGGAGTGGAAAGGGATGAGGCAAAGGATATGAGCCCTCCCTTCACCCCGGTCTCCCCTTCTCCCTGTGAAATTTGATGGGCCTGTTGCTATGTATGTAAAACATCTGTCTCCAGCATTCTGTCCTACTGTAGCAGGATAGGGCTATGCATGTAGGAGAAGACTAGTTGGTAGTTGCTGGAATCACCAGGGAAATTAAACAGGTTTAGTGCCCACCCCAAATCCTTCCTTCCTTCCTTCCTTCCTTCCTTCCTTCCTTCCTTCCTTCCTTCCTTCCTTCCGCCGTCAAGTTGCAGCTGACTTACGGTGACTCCATAGGGTTTTCAAGGCAAGAGATATTCAGAGGAGGTTTGCCATTGTGCCTGCCACTGCATTGCGACCCTGGCATTCCTTGGCAGTCTCCCATCCAAATACTAACCAGGGCTGACCCTGTTTAACTTCCAGGACCTGAAGAGATTGGGCTAGCCTGGGCTATCCAGGGCAGGCCTGCACTCCTTTACTTTCTCTAAATATGGCTGTCACTTGATTAAAGAAATCTTAATTGGTTAATTTTTAATCACATGATCAGTCTATGTATGACAATAGTTCTGAAGAGAGAGGCATTGTTTGGGCACGATGTAGCCAAAGTTTAGCCTTTTTAAATATCATGGATTTCAATAGCCTTTTTGTTCTTTGATGATGAACATACATTTCATAACAGGTTATTTTAGAAAATGAGATAGAAATGTATGAAGCTGCCCTATATTGAATGAACTTATTGGTTCATCTATGGATGTATGAAGCTACGCTATATTGACTGAAGCTTTTGATCTGTCTTATTTCCATAATATTACCTCTGACTGGCGGCTGTCCGCCAGAGCCTTAGGTAGAGAAGGATCTTTTCCAGTCCTGCTATCTGAGAACCTTCTCTAAGAACCTGGAATCTCCTGCATGCAAAGCGTGACTCTTCCACTGAGCTGTGCTCCTGTAATCCTGTATGCGTTCCCTACAGGGGTTTTCTTGCATTAACTATTTTTTAAATTACCTGATTAATGGGTTAGATTAACTGATGTAAAAACATTTTCATCAGTTCAAAGGGTACCCTGATCATCAGCAAAGTATTACAGCCCTATGTGTCGGAAGAATTGCTATTAAAGCTTGTAGCAAAAAGTAAACCTCTGCACTTGGAGCAATATGTCTTCCCTCTGACAGAAAGTTGTAGGGGCCTTGCTGATGGGGATCCCTCAAGGAGTTGCACATTCGGCGATTTTTACAGTATATAAGCCCCTGCCCCCTATTGCTGCTGGACATTTTACTCATTACATAAGCATGAGGAGACCACATAAAAAGGAAATGGGTCACATGTTCTCCTTAAGAAGTTTATCTTGTCTTGAAAAACGTAATACTAGGGTACCTCCACTAGAATCATAGAACTCACAAGTCAGAAATACTCTGCAGAAAAGTAGCTATGTAAAACCCTGCAGTGCTCTTCCCAGAGATTGATGATGCAGACAGAAACATATAAGCCCTGGCTTTCTGTATTAAACATTCAGGGAATGACAATACGCTGCAAGGGCGTAGAGCTAAGCTCTATAAACTTTACTTTAACATACCATCCGTAGATGAGCTACACTGAGGGAATATAAACCCCCATTATGTTATAGCATCCAGGGAGCATCACTGCCAAGAGGGAATGAAAATGCTGTCTCATTTATGTTTAAGATCATAAGCATCCAGGGACAAGTAATCTTGAAATGGAGGGAGTCAGAGGTCCATAATATCTGAAGGGTTATAGCATCCAGGAAGAGATGCCCTGAGGAGGAGCAATGGCACTCTAGATTATTCTATTCATAGATGGATATAGTAGAAAAACTGAAAAAGCTCTTGAGGTTATTCCCCAGTATTATTCTGCAATAGGAATAAAGGAAGTGAGTACAGTATGAAACGAGACAGCTTGTGGGTATTATGGCTGAGCTTTGATATTCTCAGTGCTTGGCCTGCATTTCCAGGCTGCTAGGAACTCTAAACTGCAGCACCGATTTATTTCTTCATTTTATATCTTTTCTGCTACCTCTTGACACCAGAAAATCATTTTACATGAATTTCACAAATGAGGTTAAGTGTTTAAAATGTATCAACGTTACCAGTTTTGTAATAATTTTTTTCTCTTTTGATTTCAGCTAGAGAAATGACCAGAGGGAAATTCCTGAACATCCTGGAAAAACCAAAAAAGTAGCTGAAAGTGAAATATGTACAGAAATATACCTGACTAATGGAAAATTACCAAAATTCTACATATGCTAAAATGGAAAGGCAACTGGCTGCCTTTAGCATACAGAAATGCTTCCCTGTCTCTTGGCCCTATTTGTGATGAGAAGCACTAATTTTGGCAAAGGCTGACACCAGATCCCTCAATTGGGGCTATCTGCTCCTGAAAATTCTGCCAAAATAAGCTGATTTTTTATACAGTTTCATCAGAGTAATGGTCTCATGGATCCTCAATACCTTATATTGAAAGTAAGATTCTTTTATGGTATCACCATGTGCCTCTGGGTCATGTATACATGGCTCTTTTGTGTATCGCTTTCTCTTCTCTTTTTTGGATAAGAACATCTTTTGTGTAACTGCCATGCTGAAAGAACTAATTGAATGCCTAATTATAAACAATATAAAATTATATATTTATATATAAATTATTAAAAACCAGATTGTATTGGCTAATCCTTGGGTTGGCTGGCTTTCTCACAAGTGAGCATTGTTTGTAAATTCTTATTAGCTACAAACATCACAGAAAAGACATATGTTACCATTCTCTTCCTCACAGAGGTTTCATTGCCTCAATTACTGACACAGGGAGCCACATATCAACCCTGAACTTCACTTCTGTTTTGTACATGACTACCATAGTATTGATAGGGTGGGATTGGAACCGGAAGGTATCTTGCCTCACCTCATGAATGAAAAATAATCTTGTAAAATAGAGAGACCTATGCTGTAAACTCAGCTTTATCAGTTTGTCCTGTTTAAATCCACTTTAGTATCCATGTCTAGCTGAGTCACTTGAAGAAGTAAGACAAGTTGTAATTTAAAACTTTCCAAAATGGAATTTACAGATTGCCTTTACATTGTTTTCACAAGTCCTTCAGCAAAATTGGTTTCTTTGGCAAGACTGTTAGACAACAGTAATAACTTGTGTAGTTGGTATTACCGGGGGGGGGGGGGGCACTTACAATTGGTTATTCACAAGAAGCACAGCTGGACTTTGTTTTCAGATTCTTTTCTCTAGAAGGGGGAGCCTTAATACTGAAGATCATAATCCAGCCAATTGTAAGCACCTTTAAATTCCATTAATTCTAATGGAACAGTTACTTATAAGCTTAAATCACTTCCATTGTAATTTATTTAAATATAAAAGCTTAACTATTATTGAACTGTGGCCTGTAAAACCTATAAGATGTCATTTTCCTATGACTCACCAGAAATCATTTAAATACAGGTTTGTGGACTGAACTGCTCTGTCTCTCACAAACACACATTTCAGTGAGTCTTTGTTCAGGTACTTTATTCAACACATGAATGAAAATCTGTGTTGCAGAGCAGGCTTTTGTTTCTACCTTTAAATCTATGTGTATTTATCAGCCTGAGTACAGCAGAGGCCTTTATTAAGCACAGATAGTTCACCCAAGTATTTGCCATATTGAAGCAGATGGAAGTTTTTCACATGGTCACATTTTTGCAAGACTGGAACTTAAATGGGAAAAGATCACATCTAGACTGATGTGGGAGCAAGTGACCATGAAAAGCAAACAAAAATTGAAAGCAGGAGGAAGAATTGGGCAGATGAACAGATGAGTTTTTTGTGTCTATGGCTACCTAATTTTTATATTTCTATTTAAAAATACTCAAATTCTTGCATTTATTTGGTTTATAGTGTTCCTTATATTTACAAAGTTACTAATTTTTCATTCCCATTGATTTTAATAGAACATATTTTAAATTTTGCGTTACCTTTCTTGTATTATAAGCTATGGGATATATGCTTGCATTTTCAAGGGTCTTGAAATGCACTACAAGTTTGTGAAACTGAAAAGGTAAAGCAACACATGGAAAGTCACATGATCAATCTAGTCATTAATCCCAAATTTGATTGGTTACTATTCTTCTATATTTCAAAAAGCAGATGTTCTGGAAATTTATTCTCCATGGCCAAGGCAGTAAGGTACAGTAGTGAGCTTGGATTATTTATATATTTTATATTGTATATCCATAGGTATGTTAGCATTGTATTTTTATAGATTATATAATTTGTATTACCCTCTACCGTAATCTGTCCTGGATTGATGTTCATATAATAAATAAAGGTGAAGCAATATGCATCTTCTGAAACAATCCTGTAAAATGTGGAAAGTGTGATGTCACTATAAAGAAACAAGCAAACACTGTGATATAAATGACATAGACTTTTAGTAAGATTCATATTATATTATAAATAAACTTTGCAATATTACAAGCCCATCATTCTCAAGGAGCACCCGGATATAAACTCATTTTGTCCCAATCTTCCTCAGGAGTAATCCTCTTGTTACAGTTCAGTGTTCTGTTATGAGCAATGAGATTTATTCCCAAACACCTATGCATGTACTTCAGTGGAAATCCAAGTGCCATTTGTAAATTTCTAAGTCGTTAAATGTTGGTAACAGTTTTGAACAAAACATCTTCACTAATGTCTGTCTGCCTTGTGATACATATGGAACAACACTAAAATTTGCATTATACAGTATGGTTTTAGTTTTGTTTTAAGATGGAAACGGTAGAAAGTATGGAAGTAAAACAGAAGAGCAAGTGGTTTAGATGCACCAGAGGATTTTCATGGACAAAAGGGGGGGGGGGGGGGAGAGGGTTTTTGGGGGAAACAGTTTTTTCTAATTCTTTTGTTCCCCCACAGACAGTCAACTTCCCTCTCATTCAAGGGTCAAGAGTGTTTATTGTATGTGTCCAAAGTCCATTTCAATTGACCAGATAAAACATGAACAAAAAACAGCAAACATCAAGCTATAGTGTTAAAAACACATAAAAGTTCATTAGAACAGATTAGCACCTTCTTTGTGAACTGGTAAAGGAGTCTCAACCATTAAGCACAGCTCGAGCTTGAATTTTCTTAGCTGTCAGGGCAAACTGCTACTCTATAAGAGACATATGAATCCACATTGAAAGGAGGGAAGGGATAGTTTTTCCATGGGGTGGGGAGGAACTAGACCTTTTAAAATTTCTCTTTTAAAGTTTCCTGATTGGTGGGTGCCCTTCTCAGCTAAGCTGTTCACCCAGCTCAGTCTAACTGGTAAATTTCCCTCAGGGTGGAAACTAAGCATCGCTGTCGCATTACTTTTTAAAATGTCGCAAATCAGTCCCTTAATATCCCTTAAAAAGTTAACCTGCTGAATATAGCCTCAAACTGTACAAACTGGAAGACTGGGAGACTGCCAATAATAATATCCATCCTGAACAAGCAGGGTTCAGGAAAGGGAGAGACACTCTTAATCATTGCCTGACTCTTTACCAGCTGGCTCAACAGAGTATTAAGGGCCCCATCAAAGCTATGTTCATGGCATTTGTGGACCTCATTGCTGCCTTCAACTCAGTGGATTGGAACTGTCTGTGAGCAAAAGTAGCAGGTACCAGTATTGGTAAATGCCTATTGTTCCTGATTAGGGAACTTTATTCTAAAATAACTCCTAAAGTTAAGGTAGGTCCCACAGGCACTTTTTCAAAGGAGATTCCAATTACTCAGGGAGGGGGGTCAAATAGGGGCTGTGTTCTGGTCCCTTTGCTTTTCAAACTGTATTTAAACAATACTGTATTTAAAGTCTGTCTGGCCCTTACTTTCTTTCCACCATTCTTGGGGAGACAGAAAGTATCTGTTCTCCTATAGGCCAATGACATGGTGTTGGTGTCTTACTGTCTTTAACTTGTATTGGTTTAAGGATGATGCTAGACCCAACTGCCCTCTCATGCTGTTCTTGGAAGTCTCCTGTCCCCCAAGAGCAGCAATTCAAGAGACATTCTGAGTTGCAGCAGAAGTATGGAGGCAGAGAAGCCTCATTTTGCTAATGGTAATCCCCTCAATCTGCAGAAAATACCAGTTGGTTCAAGCCAGTAGTTATCCATTTAGGCAAGTGTGCATACAGAACTGTTGTGTCTTCATTTTTATTCTTCAAGAGAAACTGTTATGATTGTGTTGTTCTAACAGCTCTGAACTGCTCAACTTTCAAGTGTTAAATAATTTGCTATCAATGAAATTTGCAGAAATCCTAGTTTCAGACACTTAATGTTTCAGACACTAGTATGAGCTTAAAATATGCTAATTGTTTTCAAAAACTGGAGTTTCAGACTAGTTTCAGACACTAGTATGAGCTTAAAATATGCTAATTATTTTCAAAAACTGGAGTTGAGGCATTCTATTTGTACAATCCAAAAGTTTGATCTTTAGAAGTACCTCCACAAAATTATAGAAAAAAATCTTATAATAACAAAGTTCAGTCCTTTAGAATTACAGCATTTAGTATTTTGTACAGAATTTATGAAATTCAGCACTCAGCCTCAAGCCTCCGTTGTATTGACTCCCCAATGATAACTAGGATGACAAAACAGACTCCATCTCCCATTATACTTAATTCACTTTACTTTCACACATTCAGAGAGTGAGTATTTGGTATTTGATTGTAACTATTGCCATTGTTCTTCATAACAGTATTTTCTGAAGCTCAACCAGTGGTGAAGTTCCTCAGATAAGCACACAAAAAATTATCTTCCTCCAGGATGACTTCTTTCTTCTCCAGTGGCCCACAGTGAAAATCTAGCTTTGTAATAACACAATAAGGCAGAAATATCTGTTTTTAATTAGCAATTAATTCAATCTAATGTGATTTTAAATATTATGCAGTAATCATAGCTGCACAGTGTCACTAAAGGATAGATTTAATTGAATGCCTTAGCTGTGTATTTCCATACCTTAACAAGCTTGGAGAATAGGAGACCTTGAACAAGAGGAATGTATTCCATTCAAGTGTACCCTGTTGATCCTATTAAGTCTTTCAGCAACCCATACCATCAGGAAACACAGGAAGGTGTTGTTGACGCAAATGAAGAGCCTCCCAGATTTTTTGGGACAGCTTTTTAATGGTTTCTGTTCCTAGCAGGATGGTTCAAGGGGAAGTGTTTTCCTTGGGCCCTGTGTCATAACACTTGTTCTTACAAGGCCATGGGCTTACTGATGCCTCTTGTTATCTGACCCTGGTGGACTTAAAAATATCTAGCCAGAATTTGGGGCTTAGATGCTGGTAAGGAATAATAAATCAGTCATACTGAATCCAGACAAGCTTCAAGGGTAAAGGTACCTGGCAACTTGGTGACTCTTACCTTTGCTGGAGTTAAGGTTTATGTCTTCTCAGAAGTACCACTAGATGACACACAGTTTGGAACGTGCTCCTTTGAAAAGCATTACAGCAGGAGAGAAGAAAGTGCTACATATGCTATTGAATTTTAGTCACATGTTCAAATAGGCACAATATTATAGTTTTTAAATTATGGCTTTTTGTATCAACCAGCACTCCTGAGCCCTGGCTGGGTTACCCAGATGAAGCCCTCAGCCACCTTAATTGCCTCAAAGTGCCTTTATCCATGTTTTTTTATTTTTGAAATCCATGTGATCACATTAGTGTTACAAGGCTTTTTATCTGTGAGTCGAATTGGAATATTGCTTCCTGCTCCTCTATTAGGCAAAACCTTTTCCCTAGAGGTTTATAGGGCTGGCTCATTTCCATCTAATCCAGGACTTGTGTGTAAAGTACCATGAGAAGCAGAGGTGGTTTGCCGTTGCCTTCCTCTGCAAAGTCTTTCTTGGTGGTCTCCCTTCCAAGTACTAACCCCAGGCCTTGGAGCTTCACAACGTAGGATTACAAATTGAAGTGAATGAATTAATGAATAGACTTGTGCTCTGACTTCTAAGAGTATTTTGTTGGATTTTTGTACTTCTGGCAGTCTGAAATTAAGTGGGCAGCTCTCTTGGCCTGATTCATACTTTGATAGATGCCTCATGATTGTTTTTCAGGAGAACTGGCTACTGCTGCTGCTGCTGCAGCATTTGTAAGCTAGTTTGAATTGTGTGGAGGTGCCATTCAAATGAACAAATGCCCTTCCACAGGCACTACGGAAGAAGAGATTGGATTTATACCCTGCCCTTCACTACCTGAAGGAGTCTCAGAGCGTCTTAAAATCTTTTTTCCCTTCCCATCTCCACAACAGACACCCT